CACATCAAGACCTTGACATAATCGATCCCCGATCCCCCTCCCCCCTCCTCCCCCCTCCTCCTCCACCTCCACCTCCGCCTCTACCTCCTCCTTTTCCTCCTCAAAATAGTCCTCCCTCTCCCCTTCCCTCCCTGCCCCTCCTCGTCTTCGTCCTCGTCCTCGTCCTCGTCCTCGTCCTCGTCCTTGTCCTCGTCCTCGTCCTCCTCCTCCTCCTTCTCCTCCTCCTCCTCCTCCTTCTCCTCCTCTCGTTCCATCATGGCTACAGTCGTTGATCCAATGGCTACAATGTGGCAGCCGAGCATGGGGCGCCGCGGTTGTAGTAGTGCCTCCCCTCCTCTGGCTTCAGCTCGACGACCTGCAACCGCCCGCGTCGCTCGGACGGCCTCCCCCGCCCCCCCCCCCGCAGGCGGGAGGGTGAGGGTGAGGAGGGGTGAGGTTCACGATGCAACTTGGCACTCGCGCAGCACATTTCGCCTGGGGTGCTGACGTACCGCGGCTCGGCAGCGGCACGCGTGGTTTCGTCCCCACAGCGATGTGGGAGCCGGGCGCTCGCGGCACTCGCGTGCACGTGGCGATGCTTCCGCCCTCCACGCTTCGGGACCGAGCGCAGTGGAACTGGACCCTCATGGCCGCGACAAATCGAGGGGCCAGCACCACGCAGGCAAGCATCAAGGCTAGCTCACAACATGTATGTACACCGCCGTCTGTGCTGCATCGAGCTTCAAACTCACCGCCGTCGGCCATCGAGGGGCGGGCGTGCACCGCGCACGTGCGCATCAATGGCTAGCTCGCAGGAGGCGCAGCACCTTTTGCGAGATTTTCAAAGAGGGGGACGAGGAGGGTGGGGGAGGCTGAGGAGAATAAGGAGGGAGGGGGCGCTGGAGGAAGAGAGGGAATAAGAAAGGGAACCGGTGAGGAGGGGAACGTTAACGGGAGGGGGGCAAGCGGGAGGAGCGGTGGCGAAGGCGCTTCCCACGCCCCCGCGGCCCTGTCGAAGTCGTCCAGGGCGCGCTGGAAGTCGCCCATGTCCCTGTGCACGAGCCCTCTGGCCTGGGGAGGGCGTGGCCGCAGGCCGCGCTTGTCGAGACCCCAGCGCACCGCTGTGTCCCAAGCCTCTCCTCCTCCTCGTCCTCCTCGACCTCCTTCTCCTTCTCTTCCTCGTCCCTCTCCTCCCCGGGTTTCGCACCCCCTGTGCCCTCTCCCCGGGCATGCAGACCTCCGTATCCCCTCAGCCAACCTCCTCCTTCGCCTCTATCCTCCTGCCTTGCCCGTCCCAATCTTTTTCTCTTATCCTCCTCCTCCTCCGCCTCGTCCTGCTCTGGCCCCCGCTGCTCGTGTTATGTTTAATGTATATTTCTGCCACTCCGGCGACGACGATGTCTGAGCCCTCGTCGCCGTCCCGCCCCCCACCCTATTCCCTGGGCCATCCTCCTCAAGCGATCGAGCCACACGGAAACCAAACAACTTCGTAATCTATTCGAAAGGGAGCTCGGCGGTCCAATCCCGATGAATTTCGGTTCTATTCCCAGCTGCAAGCTTCGAGACGTACAACATTTTCTCATCAACTTCTGAGGAATACGTCCGGGTTTTGCAGGAAACTATTCAAACTACGTACACTACAATTACTACTAGTACTGCTACATCTACACCTACGGCTTCTGCTACTGTTGAGTGGTACTGCCATTGCGGCTGCGACTACAACTACTACTCCTGCTACGACTACAACTTCTTCTACTAGCCCTTCTTCTTCTTCTTCTACTGCTAGTGCAACTACTACGGCTACTAACACTACGATGGCAACTACGACGACTACTATTACGACTGCTGCTGCTACTGCTAATTCTATTACTTTGGCCACGACGGCTATGGCTACGAATGCGACTACGACATCGGCGACGACTATTACTGCTCCTACAACTATTACGGTTCATGTACAAATACATCGCTACAACAACAACATCTACTACCAATACTGCGACTAATGCTGCTACGCTTCCGGGATGACTACTACTACCATCACGACTACTACTTCTTCTTATTGCTCTTCTTATCCTCACTACTTTACTACTGCTATTACCACCATTATTCCTGGTACTCTTACTCCCACTACTACGAGTGTAACTACTACTATTGCTACTGATACAGAGCAGAGAGCAGACCACTGCTGCAACAACTGCGACGACTGCTATCAACACTGCTGCTACCAATAATAATAGTAGGAGTCGTAGTAGTAGTAGTAGTAGTAGTAGTAGTAGTAGTAGTAGTAGTAGTAGTAGTCGTAGTAGTAGTCGTAGTCGTAGTAGTAGGTGTAATAGTAGGTGTAATAGTAATAGTAGTAGTAGTAGTAGTAGTAGTAGTAGTAGTAGTAGTAGTAGTAGTAGTAGTAGTAGTAGTAGTATTAGTAGTCGCATGACTACTATTACTACTACCACGCCTACTACTATCGATATGCATAGTAGTGCTAGTACACTGCTACTTTAAACTGTTTTTACAGCTACTGCTAAGCATACTGCTACTCTTACTGCTACGCTGACGACGGTGACGACTACTACTACCACTACTACCACTACTACCACTACTACCACTACTACTACTACTACTACTACTACTACTACTACTACTAACTCCACTACTGCTAGTCCTGCTACTGCTACTACTGCTACTACCGCGACTACTACTACTACTACTACTACTACTACCACTACTACTACTACTACTACTACTACTACTACTACTACTACTACTACTACTACTACTACTACTACTACTACTACTACTACTATATAGCTAGAACTACTATCGTTACTAGAACTACGACTACCCCACTGATTTTTTTCTAATGCCACTACGACTACAAGTACTCTTGCACTACTACCACTACTGCTAACACAATTGTTACTATTGCAAATATTATTACAACTACTAAGACTACCCGTACTACCCATATCCATTCTCAAATTATTGCAAGCACAACTTACTCTACTACTACTACTACTACTACCACGACTGCTACTACTACTGCTACTACTACTACTACTACTACTACTACTACTACTACTACTACTACTACTACTACTACTACTACTACTACTACTCTACTTCTACCATCACCATGGACTAGTCCTACCACCAGTAGTAGTAGTAGTGTAGTAAGTAGTAGTAAGTAGTGTAGTGGTAGTGGTGGTGGTAGTAGTAGTAGTAGTAGTAGTAGCAGGTGTGGTGGTAGTAGTAGTAGTAGTAGTAGTAGTAGTAGTAGTAGTAGTAGTAGTAGTAGTAGTAGTAGTAGTAGTAGTAGTAGTAGTAGTAGTAGTAGTAGTAGTAGTAGTAGTAGTAGTAGTAGTAGTAGTAGTAGTAGTAGTAGAAGTAGTATTAGTAGTAGTAGTAGTAGTAGTAGTAGTAGTAGTAGTAGTAGTAGTAGTAGTAGTAGTAGTAGTAGTAGTAGTAGTAGTAGTAGTAGTAGTAGTAGTAGTAGTAGTAGTGGTAGTAGTAGTAGTCGTAGTCGTAGTCGCAGTCGCAGTCGTAGTCGTAGTAGTAGTAGTAGTAGCAGTAGTAGTAGTAGTAGTAGTAATCGTTGTGATAGTAATGCTAATAGTAGTAATAATACTAGTAGTGGCAGTGGTGGTAGTCTTAGAAGCAGTAGTAGTAATGGTAGTCGGAGTAGCAGTCGTAGTAGTAATGTAGTATCAGGAGTAGTAGTCATAACAGTAGGCGTAGCATTGGTAGTAGTAGTAGTAGTAGTAGTAGTAGTAGTAGTAGTAGTAGTAGTAGTAGTAGTAGTAGTAGTAGTAGTAGTAGTGGTAGCTCACCCGAGGAGGGCAGACGCGAACTAGGACGCCCAACATTGCCCCTCCGATTGTCCCTCCCGCCCCCCCCTTTTTCTCTCCCCCCCCGGGAGCGTTTGGGCTCGTCGGACCTCTCCATTTTCCTCCCTAGTGGCTTGCGATTCTCCCTCGTCGCCACTCTCCCTCCCTGTTTTTTCGTTTCGTTTGCCTCAGCCTACGTCAGGATCCTGACAGCCGCGTCCACCACCCTCCACCCTCTTCCCCCTCCTCCCTGCCTGCTGCCTCCTCCCTCCACCCTCCTCCTGGCGGAGGGGCGACTCCGCCCTCGGCCCCGTGTGGGCAGCTCACAGCCGAAGTCAAGACAACTCGGGGCGGCGCGGGACGCAACGGAAGGGCGGCGGCAGAGTGCCTCGTACAGCGCCTCGTCCGGCGGCGACTGGTTGAAGGCCTCCGTTCACGGCTGAGCTTATGAGCAGGAGCAGCAGCAGCGAGGCCCAGGTAAAGTCTCCCCCATGACACCACACATCTCTCTCTCTAGATATCTATATGTACATATGGACATACACACACAGACGTACACACGTTCATACATACGTAACATACAGAAACACACATGCATACGCACATGTATGTTTGGGCCCACGACAGACATATACACAATAACATTCACACACATACATACAGACAGGCATACATACACATACATACACACATACATGCATGCATGGATGCATGCATACCTGCACACATACATACACACGTGCACACACATTTACATACACACATACATACATGCATGCATACATGCATCTATCCATGCACACTCATACACATACATCCATCGATGCACGCATGCATACATACATACATACACACATACATATGTACATACGTACAAACACATCCACACATGTATACACAATTACACACATACGTACATACACACATACATGCATGCATACATACCACCCACATTCAAACATACATACACACATACATACGTGCATACATCCATCCATCCATACTTACATTCGTGCATGCATGCGTGCATACACGCATGTTTGCATACACACATACATACATGTATACCTACATACATGCATACACGCACGCACACAATATTGCTACTATGATTGTTATAATTGTGAGTGTTATGATTACTCGTGCTACTACTATATGACGACACTTATTCTCTTACATATTCTTATTAACGCTATTATCACTCTAGTTGTCATTCTCACCATTTTCTGTAGTAGTTAATATTATTACTATCCTACGTATACAAATTTATATCTACATATTACACATGCATCTGGGCTCCCCAGGTCCAGCTCCACCATGTCCAGCCCACTCAGCCCAGGTACTGAAGGGATCGTACTGCCACGTGCACAGGCGCACCTGGCACACTCTGCGCGTGCCCTGAACGTGGCGCACCAGGCACGGCTGGAGCATGCGGCACAATGGCGCACGCGGATCACGTGGCGCATCTGGCGCACCAGGCGTGCCTGGCACGCTTGGGTCACAGCGGTGCCTGGCGCACCTGGCGCGCGTGGCGCGCCTGGCACGTGTGGCGCACCTCTTCCCAGCGTTGCGCACATGGGATCTGTTTTGGTTCCCATTCGCTGTCCATCGAAAGACGACCGCTGCACATGTGGCGGCTCGGATGCTTCCTATGTGTTGGGAGGGCGGTTGGGAATGAGCGAGACGGCTTGCGGGCGGGGAGGGTGTCTTGGCGCCTCCCCCTACAACCTCCTGGGTCTGGACCGGGGGGGGGGCCGCGAGCGGTCAGGGCGCCCAGGATGGCCCAGCATGGCTCCAGTCCTCCGCTGCTTCCAGATGACTTCCACACAGCATGCGTCCGTCGAGGGCCTCCGATTAGCTCTCTGGCACTGGCCCCACCAGTGCGGCCTCGCAGGACCTCCGCGCCACGGGGGGGCACTGCAAGCACGGCCGTCGCGCGCCTCGGAGGCCAACGGGCTCCATGGCTCCCCCGGGGCTGGCCAGGTCTTAGGCTTCCGTGGCTCCTGCTCCGGAGCTCCTCCTGCTCCTGCTCCGGATCCCGATCCTCCTCCTGCTTCTCTTCCTTCCGTTCCTCCTGGAACATGGCAGCCATTCCTCTCGGGCAGGGGGGCTGTCTCGAGTTTTGACTGCCAGCTTGGAAATGCCATTATCGTCAAGGTCTCTAAAAAAGGTGGCGCCCCCGCTCAGCTACAACGCTGAGGTCAGGGTCGCCAATGTATCGCAGCCATTTGATTCCCCTTCCTCTTCCCCCCCTCTCTTGTTCCCTCCGCGCCCCTTCCCATTCGCAATGCCATTCCGAGAGCTCCGATTTCGCAGCGACGACCTGGCGACGCCCGCGGTGAAGGACGAGCCACACACCATCACCATCAGCAACAACGATGGGAACAGTCCGTGCGAGAAGAACGAGAGCCTCAGTTAATCATTTGCAATGCTGGAGCCGTCGCATGTGATAACGGATGGCAGTGGCAGCACGGGTACGAGACGCGGAACACATACGTTCTCAGCTACAACTCTGGGAACACCGCGTGAGAGCATTCTCGGGCAGTGGCAGCAGGCGGCGCTTAGAAAAGGAAGCGATAGCAACGTCACCAGCAACTGTGTTTGGGCCGCTGCTTGGGAGTAAGGCGGGCAGTGACATCACGTGTGCGAAGCGACCATCCCCAACGCCATCATTTACAGCACTGGGACCATCGATTACGAGAATGGTGAGCGGTGGCGGCAGGCGACGCTGGGAACACGAAGCGAGATCAACGTCATCAGCTACTGCGCCGGGACCGCTGCTTGTGAGAAAGGCGGGCCGTCGCGGCGCCGGTGCGAGGCGCGGAGCCCTGACGTCCTCAGCCGCGAAACTGGGGCCACAGCGTGAGAGAATGGAGGGCAGCGGCAACAGGCGCAAAGCGAAGGAAGCGAGCCAAACGTCATCAGCTACAGTGCTGGGCACGTCCCATGTGAGAGCAGTGGGCAATGGCAGCACGGGAGCTCGACGGGGAGACATATAACGTCGTCAGCTAATTACAACACTGGGACCACCGCATGCGAGAATCGCGAACCGAATGACGCGACCCCCCCCCCCCCGCGACCCCCGCATCACCAGCAAGAGCGCCAGGCCCATTATTTGCGAGAGGGATGGGCAGTGTTCAGCTACGTTATTGGGATCAACTCGTGCGCCGAAGGCTCCAAAGTGCTCATGCTTCGGTCGTGGCCCCAGACACCCCTGATGGCACGGGCGTTCATCAGCATCTCAACGCTGGAGTCAGGCCGAGGGGCCGCGACGCGTCAGCAGCGTTTCCAGCTTCGATGATGGGATTCGCTCGCGCACGCGCGCGCGGCGCCCAAGCCTGCACGGCAAGTGTTCGCGAAGCTGAGACCCGACGCCGTCAGCTTCACCACCCTGTAGTTCGGAAAGGCCGTGTGTAGGCGACGTGCACCACCGTTCGGGCTCTATTCACGAACTGCCCCTAGCGTAGACCCGCGTAATTCAAGCATGATCCTGGAACGTGGAACTCAGAGATCACTCAAAGCGCGTGAGATACCATGGTGGCAGCGGCAGGGGCAGAGTCTGTATATTTGGCACTCGCTACCAGTGGCAGCGCTGTCGTGATTCTCGAAGTTGTAGGTATGCAACTATAATGAGGTCACACTTGCGACTCGCAGCAGCCCTGCACGTCTCATCGCAAAAACAGCGCAAGTTGCGATCTCAACCACAGAAGCGACACTACCTCAGACTTGTCGGGTCGCCCAGTCCGTCGGGATAACAGGAGGAGAAGAATACTGCTGATGATGATGATGATGATGATGATGATGATGTTGTTCTTGATGATGATGCTGATAATGATGAGGAAGAGGAGGGAGATGAGGAGGAGGAGGAGAACGAGGAGGAGGATGAGGAGGACGGGCGAGGATGATTTGGAGGAAGAGGCAACTGACGAAAAGGACGAGACTGAGCAAGAAAAGCAAGAGAAAACGAAGGAGGCGCGGGAGGAAACGGAAGAGGTGACAGCCACATAGGAGGGGATGCTGATGATGCTGATGCTGCTGATGATGCTGCTGATGATGCCACTGATGACTATGATGACGATAACGTTGATGATGATGTTGCTGATGATGATGCTGATGATGCTGCTGAATATGATGTCGATGCTATGGATGACGATGCTGATGATGATGATGCTGATTCTGATACTGGTGGTGATACGGTGATGCTGCTGCTGTTGCTGCTGATGATGCTGATGAACATGATGACGAGGATGATGCTGATGCTGATGATGATGCTGATGCTGCTGCTGATGATATTGATGATGATGATAAGGCTGATGCTGATGATGCTGATGATGATGCTGCCGATGATGACCAGACGATGCTGATGATGCTGATGATAATGCTGATCATGATGACACTGATGATGATGATGACGACGATGATGATGATGCTGATGCTGATGCTGATGCTGCTGCTGCTGCTGCTGATGATGATGATGATGATGATGACGACAATGATGATGCTGATGATGATGCTGATGCTGATGATACTGCTGCTGATGATGATGCTGATGAGGAAGAGGAGGAGGAGGAGGAGGAGGAGGAGTTGGAGGAGGAGGGGAGGAGGAGGGAGGAGGAGGAGATGAGGAGGAGGAGGCGGAGTCCACCCCCCCCCTCCAGTGAGGCAGCATCCAATAAGGCAAAGGATAGGGAAATGAATGAGAGGGGAGGAGGATGAGGAGCAACCCCGCTGGCTTGAGAAGATCACTCGCATTGCCCATCGGTGGCTCTTTGCCGCACTCCTCCTCCGCCTCCCCTCCTCCTCCTCTCCTCCTCCTCCTCCTGCTGCTCCTCCTCCTCCTCCTCCTTTCACCTCCCCCTCCTCCTCCCCTCCTCCTCCTCCTCCACCTCCTCCTGCCTCCTATCCCTCCTGCCTGCAACTCCAGACCTCCTCCAATCTCCTCCTCCTATAATCCCTCTCCTCCTCCTCCTCCTTCCTCCTCCTCCTCCTCCTCCTCCCTCTTCCCCCTCCTCCTCCTCCTCCTCCTCCTACGTCCTCCTCCTCCTCCTCCTCCTCCTCCTCCTCCTTCTTGTCCTCCTCCTGCCCTGCACTCCTCTTCTTCCTCCTCCTCCTCCTCCTCCTCCTCCTCCTCCTCCTCTCCTCCTCCTCCGCACTCCTCCTCCTCTCCTCCTTCCTCCTCCTCATCCGCCTCCTCCTTCTCCTCCTCCTCCTGCACACTCTTCTCCCTCCTCCTCCTCCTTCTCCTCCTCCTCCTCCTCCTCTTCCATCCTCCTCCTCCAGGCTCGAACCGTCGGAGACATTTACTTGCGGCGCGATGTGGGTTGTGGCAATTTTATTGCTCTCCAGCCAGGTCCTCACTCCATCATGGCGCGGCCCATGCGCGCCACGTCGAGCTCTCGCGCCGCTCGTCGTGACCGCGACCGAGACCCCTCCGCCCGGCATGATCCTTGTCAGGGGAGGTTGAGTGTCCGTGCTGCTGTGCGAAGGCTCGGCTATGCAGCCCGAGTCGGACGCGTGCCACGCGTGGCCGACGTCCGCGACTTGGCGCAAGCCTGCGGCATTGTCCGCTCCGGTCCAGCTCAACTACCTGACGTCGTTCACACTCGTGCTCTTGACCACCCTCACCCTTTGGGTGGGATCAACCAGGCTACGTTGGTCGACTTGCTGTTCTGCTGCCGAAGCCGCCGCCGGCTTTTTCCCCTCGGCTGGCCGCCATCTCGCAAAAGGTTGCCCCGCCCGTCAGCAAGCCAGAGCCGCTCTCCGCGCCTTAGCTGCTGAACCCTGAGGCTCCTCCTTTCCAGATGCTGGAGGCTCCGCCTGGGCCGGTCTTCGTGGAGACAGAGGTGCAGAAGCGCACCGTTTCCTTCGACGAGCCTTCTTCGCCGCGCCCACCGCCCCGCCAGGTAGAGAACTGCACTGCAGTGCCGATCGACAGCAGTGCCAGCCGGGATATCGCCGCCGAGTTCAAGCAGCGGATCTCCGATCCTGCGCAGCAGCACTGCCCTGCTATGCTAGGGCAGCTAGACACTCTGTTTGGCAAATGCATGGGCCAGGAGGATCTTCTTTACCTCAAAATTTGCAATAAGTTCGGAGTTCACCCGACGCCGATCCGCCGCGGAGTGAACCGTCCTCCAGATTAGCTTGAGTTTCCAGACCGTTGGGTCTCTGCTTGTGTGTAGCATCCGTATGTCTGCCTATGCGCACGCATGTTGTCAAGCATCTGTGCACCTTTTTGCCTCTCTGTGTTGTCTCTCTGTGTTCAGGTCTCTTTCTCTATTCGAGCGGGGTTTGCCTGAATAAGAGTGCCAGCAGTCGGAGAACCGTCGGAGCACGCTTCTGCCATGCCCCTCGTCACACACACAGACACAGACACAGACACAGACACAGACACACACACACAGACACACACAGACACACACAGACACACACACAGACACACACACAGACACACACACACACAGACACACACACACACACCACACACACACCACACACACACACACCTCCTCCTCCTCCTCCTCCTCCTGCTGCCTCCCTCCCTCCCTCCCTCCCTCCCTCCCTCCCTCCCCTGTAGGCAGGAGGGCCAGCCCCGCTGGCCTTGAGGGCCCGCTCGTACTGCCCGTCGGCGTGGCACATCGTGCCTCCGCTTGCAGCCGCGCGGGCCAAAGGAGTGGAGTGCGAAGACGCGCGGGCGCTCGGAGATCGCTCCTTCTCCTTCTCCTCCGACGGCTCGAGACGGCCCAAGAGGCCGCCAAGATCGCCCCAAGATCGCCCCAAGATCGCCCAAGAGGGCTCCAAGAGGGCCCTTGATGGCACAAGGGCCCCCAAAATGGCCCAAAACGGCCCCAAGAGGGCCCAAGACGGCCCAAGAGACCTCCAAGACGCCCAAGATGGCCTCCAAGACGGCCCCAAAGCTCCCCAAGAGGACCCCAAGTCGGCCCAGAAAGGCCCCCAAGACGGCGTCTTGAGGGCCTCGACATTTGAAGGATCTTGACATTTGCTTCTGTTCGGCCTTCCGACGGCCCAAGTGCCTCCAAAGATCGCCCAAGAGGCCCAAGACGGCCCCAAGGGGCCCCCATGACGGCCCCAAGAGGCCTCCAAGACGCTCAAGATGCCCTCCAGTACAGCCCAAGAGCCCTCCAAGACGTCCTCCAAGAAGACCCGAAAGGGTCAAAACGGCCCACAAGCGGCCAAGATGACCTTCAAGATGCCCACGTGTTCCCCGAAGGCTTTCCAAACCGATTCGGGGAACACACGGTCCGATAGCTTGGCAGGTCTGGCCTCAACGTTCGGCCACATAGGCGCTTCCAAAAAGGCAGGGGGCGGCGGTGATTCGCCGTGGGCGTCTTCGATGCGCCGCCCTCTTTTGATTTATCAAAGGGGTGCCTGGCGTGCCGGATGATATGGGTTTTGGTTTTGGTTCTTTTTCCAGAAGAACTCCCCCTGGGGCTTCGGCCCGTCCCGCCGGGGCCGCGGAAGGCGCTCGCCCAGAAAGGCCCCCAAGACGGCTCCCGACGGTGTCAGACGTGCCAGGAACCCGCCAAGATGGCCGAAGTTGGCTCGAAGCTGGCCCAAGATGGTCCAAGAGGCCCCCAAGAGGGCCTCCAGGAAGGCCAGAAGAGGCGAACAACATTTGTTTGGATATCTGTATGTATATGTATATACACATATATATGTATATATACATATATATATGTATATATACATATATATACATATATATATATAATACATATATATATATTATATATATATTATATAGATCAAATGGATTTTGACATTTGCTTCTTTTCGGCCTTCCGACGGCCCGAGACGGCCCAAGAGCCCCCAAAGATCGCCGAAAGATCGCCCAAGAGGCCTCCAAGATGGCCCCATAACGGCCCAAGAGGGCCCCAAGACGGCCCCAAGAGGCCCCCAAGACCGCACAGGAGGCCTTTAAGACGCCCAAGATGGCCTCCAAGACGGCCCTGGAGCATTCCAAGAAGGCCCCAAGTCGGCCCATCGAGGCCCCCAAAACAGCTTCCGACGGCGTCGGACGGGCCAGGGGCCCACCAAGACGGCCGAAGATGGCACTAAGATGGCCCAAGACGGCCCAAAAGGCCTCCAAGAGGGCCTCCAGGAAGGCCCGAAAAGGCCCAAATCATTGATTTCCCATGGGTTTTTGAAGGATTGTGGCATTTGCTAATTTT